ACAGTCACACATATGCATACACACAGTCACATGCACAGTCACACACATGCATACACAAATACATGCACACGCATACACAGTCACACACACATTCACACACATACAGCCACACAGTGCATACACATACACCCACTCACATACACTCACACACATACATATACAGTCACACACCGAATACACACAGACACACACACAGTTACAAAGTCACACACACACATACACATAAACACACATACGCACTTACAACATGCATGCACACTCATGTACACACAAGCACACACACATGCAGCTGTAATTCCAGGGGCGTCACAGATTCCCTGGTGCCCTTGCATAGCACTCGAGCTGAAACTTAGGGAAGGCGTACAATTCGTGTTCATTCATTCATGAAGGGAAAGGGACTGCAGGGTGGCGCTGACGGGGCCTCTGTCTGGGATTCATGTGCATCGCGGAATGCAGGGCCCCTGACAGGCCATGTGGGGCTGGGGCTGTGGCACTCAGGGAGGAAGGGCATACAACAATACATGGCAATTCAATAGTTTCTTTCTGTAAAAGAAGAAAAGTTGAAGTGTGTTGGTCTGAGTCAGTAAAAACAACTCCATTTTTATCTGTCTTAGATTTTGTGGTTAGTGGAGAGCAATTTCCAACGTCAGCCTTGAGCTGGTACTTGTATGGAAATAACGTCGCCTGTTAAATCCTTGTATTTGTGGTCGGCAGTCACCCAGGAGGTCACGTGTATAGATGAGGAAAGGGTCAGGAATGGCTGGCTTCCTCTTTGTGCTTTGGGGTCCCCTGAGAGATACCCTCACACCATAGGGGAGAAGAGTGAGACCCGGGGCTATGGGAGCTGCCATCAGGCCGCTTCCAGGGGCATTCAGCCGAACACCAGCCAGGAATCGCAATGACTCTCTTAGAAGTGAAACATTATCTTGCTCTGTATCTTATTCTCATAAGAAAAAAAACCTCCAACGCGCTTTTGAAACGTTTCTACAAATGTCTTGTTCATTAATTCAGACAGTTATTAGAATTTTCCCTTTCTTGACCTGGTTGAGAAATATATATAAATAGATGATAGATAAATAGATAGATAGATAGATAGATAGATAGATAGATAGATAGATAGATAGATAGATAGATAGATAGATAGATAGTTTTTTTTCATATACATAAACTGTGTGTGTGTGTGCGTGTGTGCATGTGTGGGCGCATGGTGTGACAGCATTATTCCCTTAATGCCTGATTTAATCTGGATTTTTGTACCTTCTAGGAAAACCAATGAATTAGGAGAACTCCATGGGCTCACAACCGATGAGAAATTTGTGGAGGGGATATACAAAGTGGAGCTAGACACTAAATCCTACTGGAAGGCACTTGGCATTTCCCCATTCCATGAATATGCAGAGGTGAGCGCATAGCATGGAAGCAGGTTTTTCCCTCTGTTTCCAGTCCCAGGAAATGAGCTGTTTGCACTCGCGTGCCATGGAAACGTCTTAAGGAAGTAGTGACCCTGAGCGGTTCCCTTCCCATTGCTACAGTCAGACATGTGCAAAGCTAAAAAGCAAGTATTTTTCTAGGTTTAATGAAAACTCATTTAGTAACGTGGCCTGAACCTACGTAATGCGCTCTTGATGGTCTTCATTCATTCCGCTGTGTGTCCGCATGGCACAGGGCTGGTAAAGGGAGTAACGGGGATGTTTGCCAAAAGGACCCAGGCTGTGGAATATTTGTTTGCTTACAACCCACTAAGGGGGTTATGTATCAAAAGGTACATGCATCATTTTACTTTTCTGAAATCTGAAAATTCTTCATTCCAAAACACATCTGGCCCCCAGAGGCTTGGATAAGTAATTTTGGGCAATTCATATAGAGACAGTGAATTCAAAATAATAATGGCAACACAATAGATAACATTTATCAAGCATAAACCAAGTACCAGACACTGTTGTTTTTCTACTTAACCTGTTTAACCCTCATAAACAACCTATTGCATTGATCTAATTAGTATCCCCATTTTATAGATGAAGAAGTAAAGCATAGGGAAGTTAAATATCTTGCTAAAAGTCACAGGGCTAGTAAGGAGAGGAGCAGGAAAATTAGCCAACAGGGCCCAGGCTGGATGTAGCCTGACACTTCTTCTTATAAGAAGCCAAGCTAAAATCATAATAGCAAAACCCCACTTGTAACCCCTGGCTCACACTCCCATCCTCTGCGTATGTGGCAGTAGGAACCTCAGGTATACATGGGCCCAATCTCCCTGCCTCCTCCTTGTCTGGAATTCCTTAAGTCATTCAAAACAGATGATTGTCATGGAAATAGAATCCAGACATGTTGGTTGGAGTTAAAGATCAGCTAATCACTTCAAAAATAGCTTGGCATGAGAGGGGACCAGTCTCTCTGGCTTAGTCATAGATGAGCCCATCAATGACATACAATGGTTACTTGTCACACAGTGTTGCCAGGGGAACGAGAGGGGCCTGTTTGACTTCCGGGGCCCACAAATCACCGAGGGAGTCCCATTCACCAAGGAGCAGGCCTCTGGCTGCTCCTCGGCCAGGCAGCAAGACACAGCGCCCGGTCAGGGGTAGGGGCAGGGGCAGGGTTTAGATGGTGCCCACCAGAGGACATCTGCCTCTCTTCCGTCCCTAGAACCTCCCTGGAGCCCTGCCCGCCCTGGGTCTCAACCTGATGAGACCACCTGAGACGATTCCTGTCCCCCTGGCCATTAGAAACCAGTCCTCTTCGTTAGATGTTAGCCTCCTTGCTGGGCAGTCATTCCTTGAACATTCATTCAACAAACATTTTGGAAATAAAAACTTTGATGTGTTAAACATTTTGCTGGATGCTAGAGATTCATAAGTGAAAACACATCCTTTCCTGGGCGTAGAAGCGATGGGACTGGTGCAGGACATACCCGGCAGGGCCGTGAGCCCAGCTAGGAAGGGAGCCTGAATGGCCACAGGGAATGAGAGCAAGCAAGGAGACAGGCTCTCTGACTTCCCTCAGTCAGGCAGGGGCCATCCTGATTTGCAATGTGAATTTGCAAAAAAAAAAAAAAAGAGCCCTGATTATCCAGGCAGCAATGAACGACAACATGAGACTCCAGCAGCTTAACTCACTAGCATATTTGATTTCTGCCTTTTGCACAAACTGCTCCAGAACATGAAATCATAAAATAAAAATAAATGATTTGGCACAGGACTCCCAGTGGTGTCTCTGTGACTCACGTTCGGGGGCTCATTAGAAATGGGTCCTGTCTCTGTTCTCTCCCAGGTGGTGTTCACGGCAAACGACTCCGGCCGCCGCCACTACACCATCGCTGCCGTGCTCAGCCCTTACTCCTACTCCACCACAGCCCTCGTCAGCAGCCCCCAGAGCTGAGGAGCAGCCTCTGGGCTCCGGAAGGACGGCCGACAGGATGCCGTGTGACCACTAGGATTCCATTGTTATTAGACTTTTATTAAAATTTATAAAGCTTTCACTTTGTAAGCTACAGTAGAAACGTGGCAGAAACAATAAAACATTCCTATTAAGGCACTTCCCATTTCATCTGAACTTGCTTTTTTATTCCCTTCTTGAACTCTCAAAAAAAAATATCCAGATTTTACCAAGAAGCAAGGGAACTTTAAAAAGTCTCTGGTTGAACTTGGAAATGGAAATTTCCAAAGTCTTTTAGGCTAAACAGACATTCAATATAGCCCACAGCCATTGAAAACGCACATTCTGAAAATGAGAGGGCTTTATTTTCCTCCAGCCTCCAGTGGATAACAAGACAAATTGTAAGGGCTCCCCCCTTTACTCTGCGCATTCCCCTCGATTTCTGTACAATTTCAAGAGCAGCACAGCTCTTCTGGGACAGACCTGCAGAGACTCAGGCCCACTAGTCCAGGTCAAACCTGTTGCGCCCACCGCCAGCTGAGAGGCCACACACCCTCAGCTCACACTAACCCAGAGTTCATGTACTGAGAGACTGTCTTATATGCCAAGCACTGGTTTAGGTGCTCTGATTACACAGCATAGGTCCAGTGTCTGCACTGAAAGCTTACATTCTTTCGAGTCGATAACTGTCCATGTGATTTGACAGAGGCTCTGGTACAAGGCACAGCCAGGGTAGGAAAGACAAAGCAGCAAATAGCCTGGAGAATATATATGAGCCTCCCACGTGTATGGGAAATCAGAAGAAGTCTCACAACCTGAATGTTGGTTGGTTGTCAGGTAAAAAAGGGGAACGGTGTCCGAGGTAGAGAGCAAGGACAGCAAGGCCAGGCCGAGTGACACAGCTCGGCTGGGGGCAGGAACAGAAAGCACCTTGGAACCCGTGAAATCCAAGGGCTGTTGAGTGGGACTGATTAGCAGCCCCTAACTCCGGGCTTCAGCAAAGTTCCCCTGAACTCCTGCCAAATCTGAGGCAGATGTTCTCGGTCTGGGGGCTCTCAAAGATGTCCTCCAGGTGTCGACTCAGGCCCCAGTTCGATTTACTCTGTAGATTCAAGGAGCACCTAGTCACAGGCTACAGGAAGGGAGGAAGGTCTGGACTGTCCCACAGACTCCCACTGACACCCTGCCTGCTGGACCAGCTCACGGTCCCACTCAGGTGCTCTGCACAATGTGGCTCCCAGCTGGGTGTCGTCCCCCACAACAGCTCTACATTCTGAAAAAGCATCCCTCCAGGGGGGCAGTGAGCATCTCTGCCACACTTCGGCAGGTTGGGAGCAGAGGGAACCGGGGCTGGAGAGAAGCCTGATGAAAGGCTCTTGTTAGAGCCGCAAATTTATCACAGAGAGCATGGATCCACTGATGGAGACCCGGGGATCTGGGGTGGGCGGGTCACTTCCCGTGTGTAATTTCCAACTGTAGATGATAGATAAATAGATAGATAGATAGATAGATAGATAGATAGATAGATAGATAGATAGATAGATAGATAGATAGATAGATAGTTTTTTTTCATATACATAAACTGTGTGTGTGTGTGCGTGTGTGCATGTGTGGGCGCATGGTGTGACAGCATTATTCCCTTAATGCCTGATTTAATCTGGATTTTTGTACCTTCTAGGAAAACCAATGAATTAGGAGAACTCCATGGGCTCACAACCGATGAGAAATTTGTGGAGGGGATATACAAAGTGGAGCTAGACACTAAATCCTACTGGAAGGCACTTGGCATTTCCCCATTCCATGAATATGCAGAGGTGAGCGCATAGCATGGAAGCAGGTTTTTCCCTCTGTTTCCAGTCCCAGGAAATGAGCTGTTTGCACTCGCGTGCCATGGAAACGTCTTAAGGAAGTAGTGACCCTGAGCGGTTCCCTTCCCATTGCTACAGTCAGACATGTGCAAAGCTAAAAAGCAAGTATTTTTCTAGGTTTAATGAAAACTCATTTAGTAACGTGGCCTGAACCTACGTAATGCGCTCTTGATGGTCTTCATTCATTCCGCTGTGTGTCCGCATGGCACAGGGCTGGTAAAGGGAGTAACGGGGATGTTTGCCAAAAGGACCCAGGCTGTGGAATATTTGTTTGCTTACAACCCACTAAGGGGGTTATGTATCAAAAGGTACATGCATCATTTTACTTTTCTGAAATCTGAAAATTCTTCATTCCAAAACACATCTGGCCCCCAGAGGCTTGGATAAGTAATTTTGGGCAATTCATATAGAGACAGTGAATTCAAAATAATAATGGCAACACAATAGATAACATTTATCAAGCATAAACCAAGTACCAGACACTGTTGTTTTTCTACTTAACCTGTTTAACCCTCATAAACAACCTATTGCATTGATCTAATTAGTATCCCCATTTTATAGATGAAGAAGTAAAGCATAGGGAAGTTAAATATCTTGCTAAAAGTCACAGGGCTAGTAAGGAGAGGAGCAGGAAAATTAGCCAACAGGGCCCAGGCTGGATGTAGCCTGACACTTCTTCTTATAAGAAGCCAAGCTAAAATCATAATAGCAAAACCCCACTTGTAACCCCTGGCTCACACTCCCATCCTCTGCGTATGTGGCAGTAGGAACCTCAGGTATACATGGGCCCAATCTCCCTGCCTCCTCCTTGTCTGGAATTCCTTAAGTCATTCAAAACAGATGATTGTCATGGAAATAGAATCCAGACATGTTGGTTGGAGTTAAAGATCAGCTAATCACTTCAAAAATAGCTTGGCATGAGAGGGGACCAGTCTCTCTGGCTTAGTCATAGATGAGTCCATCAATGACATACAATGGTTACTTGTCACACAGTGTTGCCAGGGGAACGAGAGGGGCCTGTTTGACTTCCGGGGCCCACAAATCACCGAGGGAGTCCCATTCACCAAGGAGCAGGCCTCTGGCTGCTCCTCGGCCAGGCAGCAAGACACAGCGCCCGGTCAGGGGTAGGGGCAGGGGCAGGGTTTAGATGGTGCCCACCAGAGGACATCTGCCTCTCTTCCGTCCCTAGAACCTCCCTGGAGCCCTGCCCGCCCTGGGTCTCAACCTGATGAGACCACCTGAGACGATTCCTGTCCCCCTGGCCATTAGAAACCAGTCCTCTTCGTTAGATGTTAGCCTCCTTGCTGGGCAGTCATTCCTTGAACATTCATTCAACAAACATTTTGGAAATAAAAACTTTGATGTGTTAAACATTTTGCTGGATGCTAGAGATTCATAAGTGAAAACACATCCTTTCCTGGGCGTAGAAGCGATGGGACTGGTGCAGGACATACCCGGCAGGGCCGTGAGCCCAGCTAGGAAGGGAGCCTGAATGGCCACAGGGAATGAGAGCAAGCAAGGAGACAGGCTCTCTGACTTCCCTCAGTCAGGCAGGGGCCATCCTGATTTGCAATGTGAATTTGCAAAAAAAAAAAAAAAGAGCCCTGATTATCCAGGCAGCAATGAACGACAACATGAGACTCCAGCAGCTTAACTCACTAGCATATTTGATTTCTGCCTTTTGCACAAACTGCTCCAGAACATGAAATCATAAAATAAAAATAAATGATTTGGCACAGGACTCCCAGTGGTGTCTCTGTGACTCACGTTCGGGGGCTCATTAGAAATGGGTCCTGTCTCTGTTCTCTCCCAGGTGGTGTTCACGGCAAACGACTCCGGCCGCCGCCACTACACCATCGCTGCCGTGCTCAGCCCCTACTCCTACTCCACCACAGCCCTCGTCAGCAGCCCCCAGAGCTGAGGAGCAGCCTCTGGGCACCGGAAGGACGGCCGACAGGATGCCGTGTGACCACTAGGATTCCATTGTTATTAGACTTTTATTAAAATTTATAAAGCTTTCACTTTGTAAGCTACAGTAGAAACGTGGCAGAAACAATAAAACATTCCTATTAAGGCACTTCCCATTTCATCTGAACTTGCTTTTTTATTCCCTTCTTGAACTCTCAAAAAAAAATATCCAGATTTTACCAAGAAGCAAGGGAACTTTAAAAAGTCTCTGGTTGAACTTGGAAATGGAAATTTCCAAAGTCTTTTAGGCTAAACAGACATTCAATATAGCCCACAGCCATTGAAAACGCACATTCTGAAAATGAGAGGGCTTTATTTTCCTCCAGCCTCCAGTGGATAACAAGACAAATTGTAAGGGCTCCCCCCTTTACTCTGCGCATTCCCCTCGATTTCTGTACAATTTCAAGAGCAGCACAGCTCTTCTGGGACAGACCTGCAGAGACTCAGGCCCACTAGTCCAGGTCAAACCTGTTACGCCCACCGCCAGCTGAGAGGCCACACACCCTCAGCTCACACTAACCCAGAGTTCATGTACTGAGAGACTGTCTTATATGCCAAGCACTGGTTTAGGTGCTCTGATTACACAGCATAGGTCCAGTGTCTGCACTGAAAGCTTACATTCTTTCGAGTCGATAACTGTCCATGTGATTTGACAGAGGCTCTGGTACAAGGCACAGCCAGGGTAGGAAAGACAAAGCAGCAAATAGCCTGGAGAATATATATGAGCCTCCCACGTGTATGGGAAATCAGAAGAAGTCTCACAACCTGAATGTTGGTTGGTTGTCAGGTAAAAAAGGGGAACGGTGTCCGAGGTAGAGAGCAAGGACAGCAAGGCCAGGCCGAGTGACACAGCTCGGCTGGGGGCAGGAACAGAAAGCACCTTGGAACCCGTGAAATCCAAGGGCTGTTGAGTGGGACTGATTAGCAGCCCCTAACTCCGGGCTTCAGCAAAGTTCCCCTGAACTCCTGCCAAATCTGAGGCAGATGTTCTCGGTCTGGGGGCTCTCAAAGATGTCCTCCAGGTGTCGACTCAGGCCCCAGTTCGATTTACTCTGTAGATTCAAGGAGCACCTAGTCACAGGCTACAGGAAGGGAGGAAGGTCTGGACTGTCCCACAGACTCCCACTGACACCCTGCCTGCTGGACCAGCTCACGGTCCCACTCAGGTGCTCTGCACAATGTGGCTCCCAGCTGGGTGTCGTCCCCCACAACAGCTCTACATTCTGAAAAAGCATCCCTCCAGGGGGGCAGTGAGCATCTCTGCCACACTTCGGCAGTTTGGGAGCAGAGGGAACCGGGGCTGGAGAGAAGCCTGATGAAAGGCTCTTGTTAGAGCCGCAAATTTATCACAGAGAGCATGGATCCACTGATGGAGACCCGGGGATCTGGGGTGGGCGGGTCACTTCCCGTGTGTAATTTCCAACTGGGATTTTCCAGGAAAACCTGGGTCAGACCTAACGCCCAGGCCCAGGAATAATGAAGCAGACTTCCCATTTTTCTCCATGGTCACATCTCCAAGGTCAGGGGGCTGCATAGAGGGAGTATGAAATTTGAGGAGGGGAATGTAGGTTTGGACTACTTAACATGTACTGAGTTTTCCCACAAACACATAGATGATGTTTGATTTTATTCAATGAGTTAGCAAATCCTTCCTCCATGTATATCAAGTTAATCCAGGTCAAATTGCCATTTTTGTACAACCAATGGTCAAATATTGGTAATTTCATAAGATTCAATCTAATACAGTGATTATATTGATCACTGACCTATTTACAGAATGCTACATTTCCATTTGGCTGCTATTAAATAGCTATGGGTTTTTGTAACCCAAGCAGTTTGAAAATATGAATCTCCCATATGTATACGTATGTATATGCATATATATCTGAGTTGAATTGAATTTTCCTGCCTCCATTTCCTCTTGGTGTCAGCAAACTTGATCTTGTCCACTGAATTCAGCTCAGCCTGACCTCCGCTTTAATCCCACCTTCTCTTTCTGGATTCCATCTGCCTTCTGGAAGCTCTTGTAGCATCTCTGCATAAGGTGGAATGCATTGTCTGGTCCCTCAGAGTCCTCTGTTCATGCTGTTTCCACTGAAATGATCCTTTTCTCCTTTTCTCTTGGTCATTTGGTGTTAATGTCTTGGCTTATGTGCTTTCATGACCACTGTTATGGGCTAAACTGTGTCCCCTAAAAAGATATGCTGGAGTCCTAACCCTAGAACCCATGATTATGACATTATTGGGAAATAGTCTCTTCAGATGTGATCAGTAAAGATGAGGTCACTCGGGTGGGCTCTAACCCACATGACTGGTGTCCTTACAAAGGGAAAATTCAGATGCAGACACACAGGGGGACGCCCTGGGCTGATGGACAGGAGTGCAGTGCAGGCTGGGGACAACTGCCAGCAACAGGCTCTCCCCCATCACAAGGAATATGGCCCTGCTGCCACCTGGGTTTTGGGCTTCTAACCTCCAGAACTGTGAGGCAGTAAATTTCTGTGGTTTGAAGTCCCCTGACTTGTGGTGCTTTGTCATGGCAACACTGGGGAGGTGATAGAACCTGTCGGATTCTTCCAGATTTTACCCTGGATTTTTACTTATTGAAATCTTTGCCATTCTGGCAGTCAAAATTCACATTAAATATTAGTTTCAATTTCTTTTTTTACTTAGTGAGGCTGGACATATTATTTTCTGTTTACTGGCCATGTGAACCACCTTTGTGAAGTGTGTGTCCACACCACAGACGTGTCATGTGGGGGGCCCACCAATGTGACACTGATGGATGAAACCCTCTGTGTACTAAAGATATTACAGGTTGTACTTGAAAAGTAGATGTGACACAGACAGGAATGGTTGGCCAAGCTGTAGAAAAGCCCAGCAGCCAAGAGACCTTGATCTTCACAAAGAGGAGGGTGGGAATGGGGTGGCCCATCCCAGTAACAAGGAATCGGTGGGTTAGGAGCAGGCCACAAAGTCCCTGAGGCCAGGCTTTTCAAGCTTTTTTGGGATAGCAAAGCTGAGATGCAAAAGGCTTAGTAATTTGCTCACGGCCATGCAGGGAGCTTTGGAAAGCCCTGAAAGGCCAAGAAACAGATTATTGGCCAGAAGGCCTCCAGTTCCCAGTTAATTTAGGTGGTGAGAAGCTGCTCACCCAAAGCCTTAAGATAGCCAGGAATGCCGGTAAGAAAATCCTGCCCATGAGCCGCAAACACAGAAATGGTGCTTCTCACGCACCAGCCTCGGTGGCCTCTGGGCTGCTGCCCTCTCCTTCTCGTCAGGACACCCAAGAGAGAAAACAGTGTGTTAATTCCACGCATGCCTTCCTCACTAATGAGAAACACAGCATTTTGTACTTTCCTAAAGAAGAGGGTGTTCATCATGTTTATCAGTTTCCTAGTGATGTCAGGAAGGAGGACGTGGCCCAAGATTTGACCTTGAGATGAGTAATTTTAGGAAGAGCAGTGTGGTGGTGATGGATTCAATGTGTTGGCTAGGTTGGTCTTGGTGCCCAGGTTTAGTCCATGTTGCTCTGGGGGCATTTTTTGTGTGAACATTATTTTTAGACATGATTAACATTTTTTCTCCAGCTTTACTGAGACATAGCTGACACATGACATTGTGTATGTTTAAGGTAAAACAGGATTATTTATCTATTTACATACATATCTATATGCATACAGATACACATGCTCAATAAGGTTAGTTAACACAGTCACCACCTCACAGTTACCTGTGTGTGTGTGCGTGTGATGAGAACTTTTAAGATTTATGCTCTTAGCCACTTTCAAGTGTACAATACTGTATTGTTAACTGTGGCCACCATGCTGTACATTCCACCCCCAGTATGTATTCATCTTATAACTGAAAATGTGTGTTCTTTGATCATCTTAGACATGATTAAGTTTACATCAGTGGACTTCGAGTATGCATATTGCCCTCCATGTTATGGGCTGGCCTCACCCAATCGTTGATGTCCTTAACAGAAAAGACTGACGCAGACAGAAGAAGGAAGCATTCTGCCTTCAGACACAAAACTGAGCCCTTAACTCTTCTCTGGGTCTCCTGCAAATTTCAGAGTCGTCAGCTCCCTCAATCACCTGAGCCAATTCCTTAAAATACATCTTCCTCTCTCTAAAATAAGTCTCTCATATATGGAGACAGTGTCTAAATAAAAAATATTCAAGTAAACATAATATTTGAATGAGACATTTACATGCAAGAACCTATTTCAAGATTATACATTTATGAACCTATATGCATTTATATGACAGAAACTATTTCAGGATTACCTTTGTTTAAAGTTTCTCCTTTGCCATGTATTATACTATCAGGAACCAGAGATCACCATCAGTGGGATGTCTTGAGATATAAACTAGAATTCACATAAAATTATCAGTCTGATTGCATATAGATGAATTGACTAGTACTTTTTTTCCCATTCAACTTCCCTGATATTTCAAGATGTTACATCACTAAAACCAAAAGAATAATTTCTGAGGTCTAACACCAGCCATTCAGCACTTTGGGGACACATGAGAGAAGAAATGGAAGAAATGTTGGAGATGGGAATATTGTACTCATAGTGCTTGACTTAAAGACTAGAAAGAATGCAGTGCTGCTGGACTATGTCTAAAAGTGGTTTTATCTCTCTAGCTATCCTCTCCTCTCCTCTCCTCTCCTCTCAGGGCCCAGACGGCACTTTGGGATTCGAGGAGGCAGGGGCTGGCACTGAGGACTAGAAGGAAAGCAGCAGGGAAGACACAAGGAATGAATGGAGTCATGTAAATCCCCACTGTGGAAGGGGAGGCCTGGACGTGAGCATGTGTGCTCAGCATGGCTGGAGAGCACGGGGCAGAGCAGGACCAGCAGGCTGGACAGTGGACACAACACGTAACAGATTTTACCATCTTCACCATTTTCGAGTGTACCTTTGATGTGTTAAGCATACTCACATTGTCGTGAAACAGATCTCCAGAAAATTTTCCTCATGCAAACCTGAAACTGCTTATCCATTAAATAAAACTTTCCTTTCCCCCTCATCACAGCACCCTGGCAACCACTGTTCCACTTCCTCTATGCATGTGGTTCTGTGGATCCTCATATAAGTAGAATC